AATGATGGAAACAAATCATCCCGATGCGCAGCAAGAAAAGCAAATGTGGCAGGCGACCAGTTGGCTTAGCAGAGAAATCCTTGGCAAGTTTAAACACAAAACGGGGGCTTAGATGTAGTGCAAACTTGGACAGATGACCAGGGAGAAGTATAAATACATAGTTAGAGCATGCAGGGGTGTAATCAGGAACACCAAAGCACAATTGGAATTGCGGCTAGCAGCGGATGTGAAGGGGGACAAGAAATTTTTCTACAGGTATGTTAGCAATGAGATGGTGATCAGAGAGGGTGTGGGGCCCTTTGTGGATGAGGGAGGTAACCTAGTGATAGATGAGGTGGGAAAAGCTGAAGTACTCAATGCTTTCTTTGCCTGTCTTCACAGACAAGGTCAGCTCCCAGACAAATGCACTAGTCAACACAATATGGGAAGGAGGTGGGCAGCCCTCGGTGGAGAAAGAACAGTTTAAGAACTATTTAGAAAAGTTGGACATACACAAAGCCATGGGTCTGGATTTAATGCATCTGAGGGTACCGAGGGAGTTGGCAAATGTCATTGCGGAGCCTTTGGTCTTAATCTTTGAAAAGTCGTGGAGATCAGGAGAGGTCCCGGATGACTAGAAAAAGGCAAATGTAATGATCATCTTTAAAAAAGGGAAGAAGGACAATCCAGGGAACTACAGACCAGTCAGCCTTACCCCAGTCCCCAGAAAAATCATGGAGGGGATCCTCAAGGAATCCATTTTGAAGCACTTGGAAGAGGGGAAAGTGATCAGGAACAGTCAACATGGATTCACGAAGGGCAAGTCATGCCTGACCAACCTGTTTAGCTTCGATGATGAAGTAACTGGCTCTGTGGACATGGAGAAGTTGGTGCATGTGATAGACCTTGACTTTAGCAAGCCTTTTGATATGGTCTCCCACAATATTCTTGCCAGCAAGTTAAGGAAATATCGATTGGATAAATGGAGTGTAAGGTGGATAGAAAGCTGGCTAGATTGTAGGTAGTGATCAACAATTCGCTGTTTGGTTAGTGGTTGCTTTCATGTGGAGTGCCCCAAAGATCGGTTCTAGGGCCGGTTTTGTTCAATATCTTTATTAATGACCTCGATGAGGGGATGGATTGCACCCTCAGCAAATTTGCGGATGACACTAAGCCAGGGGGAGAGGTAGATATGTTGAAGGGCTGGGATAGGGTCCAAAGTGACCTGGACAGATTAGAGGATTAGGCCAAAAGAAATCTGATGAGGTTTAACAAGGACTAGGGCAGAGTCTTGCACTTGGGATGGAAGAATACCAAAGCATTATTACAGGCTGGGGAACAACTGGCTAAGTAGCAGTTCAGCAGAAAACGACCTGGGGTTACAGCTGTGAAAGTAGAAAGAATTATATTGTCAGAGAAAGATGAATTATGCTGTAATAATTGAATAAGTTGAAGGAATCCTGTTTGTCTCTGAACAGGAAGGAGAAAAGTATGTTAATGTTGTTTGTAAGTATGCAAATCAGAGTGCTTGCCAGATATACCTGGGGTAAGAGGAAAAGAAAACATTAGGGCTGTGTCTAGACTGGCAAGTTTTTCCGCAAAATCATCTGATTTGGCGGAAAAACATGCCAGCTGTCTACACTGGCCGTTTGAATTTCCGCAAGAACACTGACGATCTCGTGTAAGTTCGTCAGTGTTCTTGCGGAAATACTGTGCTGCTCCCGTTCGGGCAAAAGCCCTCTTGCGCAAATCATTTGCACAAGAAGGCCAGTGTAAACAGTACAGTAGTGTTTTCCGCAAAAAAGCCCCAATCGTGAAAATGGAAATCGGGGCTTTTTTGCGGAAAACCGCGTTTAGATTGGCCAAAGTTAACAAGATTAAAAGGTGGCAAAACTTCACATAATTAGTATGAGACTAGTCAAGTATCTTCATTTCCACATCAAGCACACAGCAATCTCCTGTCCATATCTCCCTGGTTATCTCAATTACTTTCTGCATAACACGAGGGCTACGTCTACACTGGCATGATTTTCCGAAAATGCTTTTAACGGAAAAGTTTTCCGTTAAAAGCATTTTCGGAAAATCATGCCAGTGTAGACGTAGCCCTCGTGTTATGCAGAAAGTAATTGAGATAACCAGGGAGATATGGACAGGAGATTGCTGTGTGCTTGATGTGGAAATGAAGATACTTGACTAGTCTCATACTAATTATGTGAAGTTTTGCCACCTTTTAATCTTGTTAAGTTGGCTTTCTTTCAACTGTATAAATCTAAGGGGTTTGAGCCTTGCATGGTACTCACATTTTCTGGGTGCATTTAGCAGAGCAGCTTTGCTAATAAACAGAGCGGTCTGACAAATCTGTGAGTCCTGTCTGACTTTGACACAGTGGATAAGAAGCTGGGTATGAGTCAACAGGACACCCTTGTAGCCAAGAAGGCGAATGGTGTATTAGGTTGCATTAGGAGGAGTATTGCTGGCAGATCTAGAGAAGTGAGTATTCCCCTTTATTCAGCTCTGGTGAGGCCACATCTGGAGTATTGAGTCCAGTTCTGCCCTCCCCCCCCACTATAGAAAGGATGTGGACGCATTGGAGAGGGTCCAGCGGAGGGCAATGACAATGATTAGGGGGCTGGAGCACATGACCAGGAGAGGCTGAGGGATTTGGGCTTGTTCAGTCTGCAGAAGAGAAGAGTGAGGGGGGATTTGATAGCAGCCTTCAACTCCTTGAAGGGAGGTTCCAAAGAGGCTGGAGAGAGGCTGTTCTCAGTGGTGATGGACGGCAGAACGAGGAGCAATGGGCTCAAGTTGCAGTGGGGGAGGTCCAGGTTGGATATTAGGGCATTAGGTTGGATATTAGAGTCCTGCCCTTGGGATGGAAGAATCCGAAGCACTGCTACAGGCTGGGGACCCACTGGCTAAGTAGGAGTTTGGCAGAAAAGGACCTGGGGGTAACAGGGGACGAGAAGCTGGATGTGGGTCAACAGTGCACCCCTGTAGCCAAGCAGGCAAATGGACTGCTCCTCGGAGAGCAGGGGGGCGGGGTATTGATCTCAGCTCTGTCCTTGGCTGGGGGAGACCAGGGAGCTGGTGGTGAGAAGCCCCAGAGAGTGGGAAGGTGAGTGGCAGTGGCCTTGTCAGCATCCTGGGAAGTCCCCCCATGGGGTCACCTGTGGCCTGACCTCGTCACACTCTGGCTATGGGGCCACCCCAGAACATCAGTGCAAGATACATTGACTCCGGCTACATTCACATCGCTGGGGTTGCGTATCTTGCATCGATTTTCTCCGCCAGTGTGGACCCGGACTAAGTCATTGCAGGGAGAGACTCTGCTAAAACAGGCCATCCTGGCTCTAAGGGGCACGGGAGCCAAGTTCCCCTCTAACCAGGGGGGTCCCTGACATACCCAGGCACCACTCCAGCTCCACCCCTTTTCCCAAGACCCCACCTTGCCTCTTCCCCTCCACCTGCGACTGTGTCTCATCCCTGCTCCTCCCCTCCTTCCCTCCCTTCTTCCCAGAGTGTCCTGAAGCTGTGAAAAAATGGCTCTTGGCAGGCAGGAGGAGCTGGGAGGGAAGCGGAGGAGTTAGTCAGCGGGGACATTGACAGGCAAGAGGTGGTGTAGGAGATGGGGGAACTTGGCAGACAACGAGTGAGGAGAATCCTGTCATATTTCCCCGTGGAAGCTCCAGCCGGGCAGCCCCCAAGGAGTCAGTGCCTAGGCCAAGCAGTCTAAATACCTAACATTCCTCTCGTTGACCCGTGGGATGTGGGATCCATCAGAACTATCCCACCGCATCCCACTGCACGGGGGAGCATTCCCAACGCTGGTTTGCTGCAACCTCTCTGTGAGCGGGGAATGGTCTTGCTACTGCGGGGAACCTTCCTGGCTTATATACTGCCCACGGGATCTGAGTCCCGGCTCGCACTCCCTTTGCCCAGAGCAATCCCCATCTCAGGGTCTCTCCCCTTCCACCTTCCAGAGTCCTCGTCATCCCTCCCAGGTTGGTCCCAGGATTTCTGGGAGGCTCAACTTGCAGGCTTGTTGTGGTCACATAGGGCACAGGCTAGGATGTCTATGCTACAGGGTATCAGCCATTAGCCAGGGTGGGTAGCAATGGTGTCCCGAGCCTCTGTTGGTCTGGAAATGGGTGACAGGAGAAAGATCATGTGAAGATTACGTGTTGTGTGCCCTCCCTCTGGAGCACGTGGTATTGGCCACTTTCGGCAGACAGGACACCAGTAAACCTCATCCCACGAGGCATAACGGGGAGGTCGACAACTGCCTTTTATGTTGACCGTGGAGTGTCCAGGCTACAGCGCTGTGCCGCCAAACAGCTGATCGGCACAGCGTGGCAGCCACTTTAATTTAAATGAAGCAGCGATTATTTAAATTGCCGCTTCATTTCCCTTTGCCTACAACCCTAATCTACATCGCTCTGTCGACGGAGCCATGTAGTCTAGACATGCCCTGGGATAGACGGTTCTTTCATCTGACCCAGTCTGGTCATTCTTATGTTCTTGTGGCCAGGATCCTTGCATAATACCACATGCTTCCCCAAGCCACTGATCATTGCATATAGTTCAAAGGAAAAGGGAGACTCTGCTAAAACAGGCCATTCAAGGAGGAACTGCAGCCCCAAATGGGCTGGTCTCCCAAACACTGCAGGGCTTCAAAGTTTGCAATTTGAGAAGTTCCTGATGTGGCCAGCTCGACGGGGGGGATTTGGTGGAACAAGGAAAACCAGAAGACCCATATTATGATGCAACAGAATTTTTAATACACATGAAATTGACGGTACGCGCAGGGAGAGATTCTACAGAGCAGCAAGAAAAGTATTTCAAGAAGGGCTACAGCTGGTCACCCGCCTCGAAGGGGCACATTTCAGACAAGATGTTCTTTGTGCTAAGTTCTTTGTGTCACACCAGGGAGTGGGAACTGAGACAAGGCAAAACACAAACGTGGGACTGAGCAGTGTCCCCATGGAACAT